GGCGCGGGTCTCGTCCCGGGGGCCGGGCGGGCTCCGGCGGGCTGGGGTCCCCGCAGCTGCGGCGCAGGGCCCACCGCGCCCCATCCCCATTCTGTCCGGCGCTCGGGAAAACCCTGGAGCTGCCACCCGGGGAACTGCAAAGCAGACGTCCCCTGCGCCGCCACCAGGACGCGAGAAAGTTTCTGATGGTGTTGGCAACCCTTTGGGGACTCTCAGGCTGCTCCTGTAATCAGTGTTGCGGGCAAGACCTTGGAGTCATGTTGCTGTTCGGTGTTGTGCCCTACCCGAGGTCGGAGAGAGGGGGTCGGGGAGAGAGGCCATCCCGCAGCCCTGCCGAGGTTGGGAGGAAGCTGACGGTGAACACTGATCTCGGTGGTAAACGGTGCTCTGCGAAGAGGAAGTGGAAGAGCATCGAGTGTGGAAAAATGTTTGTCCCAGAGTCTTAGAATCTTGGAAAGGCGGAAATGAGTGGGACCACTGATTATCAACTTTTTCGGATTAGAGGACTTTTTAACAACTGATGCAAAATGAGGCATACCTTGTAAAAGGTCCACTATCCCGTCCTCAAAGCCAGGAACACCACGCGATGATCCCTTGATCTCATTCAACAGATGAGGAAAATGAGTCCCAGGGAGGTAAAGGCTTTGGCAGTTTTTTGTTTTGTTTCCCCAAGATCTGGCGGGTGTGGGCGAAATGGAGCGCAAGTCCAGGCAGCACCAGGGTTAGGATCCCAGCTTGCCAGAAACCCAGCCCACGGCCCTTTGCACTGGCCATGAGTGCTCCTTTAAGCATATTCCTCCCTGAAGTCGATCACCCATCTGGAGCAGTTGCCTGGAAGAAGAGGAAAATAGGCAGATCTTCGAAGGCAAAGTTACACAGCCTGCAGTACCTCATCGTCTGGGTCACCTCCCCTAAGCACGACCCTGGATGTCTGTGCTTCTCATCTTACCCCACTTTTTCCTCCTACCTGTGTGCACTTTTCCCAATTTAGAGAGACAGACCCTAGGAAGATGCTTCTTGATCCATTTCTTTCCTGAATGCTAACAGAAATTATCAGACTTCTAATCATTTTTTAGAAGCATCCTAGGCTAGTGCCTCCAGAGCAGGTATTCCCCCTAGCTGGGTTTACCAGATATGCAGGCTTTGAAGAGGTCAGTTTCTCACCCATCACCCTGTGGCTGAATACATTCTGTTGGAATGCTAGGTCAGTCCAGGCAAACTCTTGAAAGTTTCCTTTTTTTGTGAACCAGAAACTAACACAGTACCCTGAGGAGAAGCACATAGAAAAATGACCAACTATGTAAGCTAGTGCACCTAAAAATCTCGGGTGTTTTAACTTAAAAGAAAGTTGCTAACAGTAAGACTTCGTAATAGTTATTGTAAGGTGATGATGTAATATTCTGAAAACAAGATTTCCATAAAACTACTTGAAACCACTGTACTATTGTCATTGAACTGTGTAACGGTACCATTTTGGCCTCTTGATCTAACTGGTTATCTCAGCAAAGCTTATTTTCAAGTTCAGGTTGTAACTATTATCCATTTTATTTACATTCTTGGATGGCCTTAATGGACAGCACGCAGCTGTCCTAAGACATCTATTTACTTTCTTCAGGGACAGTGTGGATCTTAGACTGAAGCAAGGAAAAGTTGTCTTAGGCCTGTGTCTCACATCCTCCTGGAAAGAGTGAGTTCTCTAGTGTAGCAGTGGTTCTCAAACCAGTGGAGTTTTGTTACAGTTACAGCGATTCTGTTTCAGTGGGTCTGGGGTGGAGCTTGGGAATCAAAGTTTTAAAAGTTTTTCAGGTGATTTTAATTTCCAACCAGGATTGTGAATCACCAGCTTAGAGGATAGAGAAGCTGAGCAACTTTCTCGTTTTCTTCTGAATCAGGAAATTACACTGTGGCCACTTAATTTGAATTATTTAGAGTTGCCACATTATTAGATATGCTTGCAGTGGGTTATGAACATGGAAACACATTACATAAACAAATGCTTCTTTGGATTATGGTATTTTCTTGCTCATTTCTATTGACAGAGAGAATTGAAATTATTATTCAGTAAGAGACTGAGGTTTGCCTGAGTAGAATCAGTCCTTACCCTCATTAACAAATGCTCAAGTTAGACTAGGCTTTCGAACATTTGTCCTGTCCCTATCTGGAAGCATGAGCCTCAAGTGTTTATAGGCAAGAAAATATGTGTGTATGTGTCTTAAGGAAAAGGTCATCAGAGCCAAGGGCATAAAATTACATTTTAAAGAGTTAAAGTATCATGTTAAGTTAAAATATTCCTGGTGAAAAATTAACAAGTTTAGGTTGGAGAAGATCCTTGAAATATAAACCAGGGAGATGTTTTCTGTTCTTGATCTTCTCATTCTGTTCTGTCTGTGGGTGGAGGTTCTATGTATGGGTTGGGTTTCTTTTAAGAAAGACTGTTTCATTTGGACTTGAATCCTGAAATTTCAGAAGCCAATCTCTGAGGCTGACCACAACCAAGGCATTTATTTTGTGGGGCTTAACTTGGGAGTCTTCTAAAGCTTTCTTCTCATGGGCTGAGTGGGTATGTGCAGCTTCTTTCGGCAGTATCTGAGCACATAGGCACAGAACAGAATGTGGAGGGTTCTGGCACCTATAATGGAATGTGACTGCTAGCTCCAAGGAAGTCTCTTCAGCAGTGCACCTAGAGCAGGGAGAGGAGGAGGCCTCAAATGAGAATGGCATCTTTGACTACAAAGGTCAGGCTGTAGAATACACCTGGAAAGACTGCATCATCATCATCATCATCATCATCATCATCATACTTTGTTCTGATTTGCAAAGTCACTTGTGAGCAAAGGTGTCTAAATGACAAGGATGTGGAAATATATTACCTCGTGTTTACATTTATCAGAGAAGGACATTTAAAAAAACATTAAGCAATACTGTCCTATGCTGCATAACACATTGTACATTTCTAGATTGTCATGATAATCATAGTTTTCCCACAAATTGCAGTGTCTCCCCACTCTTCAGTTCTGCTCTGCTTTTAACTGTTGAGGGCCAGTTTTGTATCCTTATCTTCCTGTTTTATATTAGTTTCAAAAAAGAGAGGAAAAAGATAATCTATTTTTCAGTGCATGGCTTATCTTTTAAGAAGTTCTCTGCTTACCCTGCTCCATTTTGCTGTCTTCTGAATGACGGGAGTGAGACTGAAAGCAGGTTGTATTCCCCTTGTAGGAAACTAAGACATAGGAAGTGGCCAAATGAATATTTAAAGCTCACGCAGATTGTCATTAATGGACTGAATACTTGATGCCCTAGAGAAAGCACAAGTTTCCTGGTTCAGATCAAGCCAAGAAGTAGGGATTAGATGGCAGTTCTGTGCAAAGCACTTCGGAGTCAGAGATAGAGGGGTAAAAGACCTGGCCCCTGCCCTCAGGAAGTTTGTGCTTTCCATGGGAAGATAAGTGGTGATCCATGAAAAGTTAAAGATTTGATTAACAGTTCAGAGTAACAAAACGGAGAGCCTTCCCAGATTATGCTGTTGCCAGTAGTGTTAGATTTGAGTCTTTCCATGAAATTCTCTCATATTCTTTCATTCACCAAATAGGGTCTTCCATGTGTCAGCCATGAACAAGATAGCAGGGGTCACAGCCCTGGAGGAGCTTGTACACCTGTGGGGGAAGTCAGATGGTCAACGAATAACATATAACACGGTTAAAACTGTTTTCCAGAAAAGAACACTTGCTTTATAAAGCTGAGTTCACCAGTGAGATGATATAAGATATTATCAATGAGAAGTATTTTTCACTTGCCATCTTGACAAGTATTTCCTAAAGATTTCTCTCACCGTCTTGGCAAGCTTTCTACTTCTTAACGTATAAGTGAGGGATGATTCTTCAGTGAGCACAAGGAAATCCATTTTATAGGGAAAAATAGCATTTTTTTAAAAGGCAGGTGTAAATCGTTGCCCTCAGCTGTGGTTCTTCATAATTGATGGGGAAAATGGAACAGGTTCAGAGAACAGATATGCTTAGGAGGTTAATAATTATAGTCTGTCAGCCATTAATACTGTTCCATTTTTCTCAATTTCTAAGTGAAAATGATAAAACATGCACTTGGAAGCAAGGACTAACCAGAATTTAATCTTTTTCAGAAGCCAAGAAGAAAGCGCCCTGTCCTGGACTTGGCTTGTTTTACACATTACTGTCTGCCTTCCTTTTCTCATTGGGCTCTTTGTGTGTTAAAAAAGTGCAAGACGTCCATGCTGTAGAAATTAGTGCATTTCGATGTGTTTTCCAAATGCTAGTTGTTATCCCTTGCTTAATATACAGAAAGTAAGTATTTCCTAACTGTAAAATAGAAGATACTAATAAATGTGTGTGAGTCTTTTGACCTGCCTAAATTATTTACTCTACAGTATCTGCTTTATCCCTGTCATAGATTTACCGGTTCCTATATCTCTTGGTTCCCATTAATGGGAAGTCACAAGGATCTACCCATAGAAGATTCTACCATAAGCACGAATTACGTGCCCAAAAAAGGAGGAGAAAGATATGGTTATTCATAATCCCCCATTTTGAAAGAAAAAAAATCTTTCTTTGTATATTTTCCTCTATCTTGTACCACCCTCCCTCTTTCCTTTGGTATTTGGAAGAAAAAAAGTAAACAAAAGGAAGTAGTGATGTCTCCTAGTGTCAAAGTTTTATTTAAGTAGAACAGGCTGCTCTCTTACCAGGGCAGACAGAAGCTTCCAGTAATAATATTCAGGTCTTACCCAGAAGATAAAAGGCGTGATCTTGAGCAAGGCTTTTTTAACTACTTTCATACTCACTTTCCTCATATTTAAACTGGAGGGAATGGTACCGTCTGTCCTCTACCCTGCAAGGTAAGTTGCAAGGGTCAAATAATGTTTATTCTGGTTCCGAGCTCTATGTGTAGAATGTAACAGTATATAACAGTCTTTACTCCCCACTCACTGTTCTCTCGCCACCCAATTCCTCTTCTCCTTCGCTAGGGGACCCCCCACTATCCCCAGGATTAAAATTATGCTTCCCCCCCCTGTTGTAACCTCCACACACCCCGGTGTTTCTTAGAACCCTAGGACAGAGACCAGTGGCTCCCTCTGGTGGCTCTTTCTCTCTGGGCAAAGATGCTTAAACTTCAAATTAACATCTTCAGCTGTTTGCCACCAAAGTCTCCTTGTATCTCCTAAAACAGTGCAGATTCACTTAGAATAGTTTTGCTCCATATCCTGAGGATTTGGTGGAAAAAGTGAAAATCTGATAAGATTAACATTGTCAGAAAGTCCTCTGTAAGTGTGGAAAAGGCACAGTATTTTAGGAAATGATGGTAAGACTTCAGAAATTTCTATGGATGGAAACAGAACACTGATACTACCATAATCATCTTCTCCATTTGGGAATAAAGGTGTTTTCAGGGGAGGACACTGTTAGAATTTTCTTAAAATTTTTGGCCCTAATCTGTTTTGATCCATTTTGTGTTTCACTGTCCTGGAAGACACTTAGCCTCTCAAAGTATTGGCCAAGGGTGACCACACTTTCATTTCTAACTCTGAATACCCAGGGGTGTCCATGTCAGGTCTAGATGATGCCATGATGAAGTCCAGCCCTGGCACAGATCAGCGAGTTGCACTTAGCCAGGAACATACCCAAAGTAGGTGCTTAGTAAATATTTAATTGAAAAAAATTTGAGTAGTGGTAATTATACTTATCCAAACACTACATGTTCTTTTTCAGTGTGTTTTAACTCTTTCCTCATGATAGCAATGAACAGTTGTCTCACATTCAGTGCCTAAAATAAATTTTAGCATTGCTTCAACTCTTACAGAAAAACTCATGAGATTGAGAATGTGCATTAGCCAGGACCAAGTTTCCTTATACAGGGCAGCTAAATATCGAAATTGTATTTATTATAAAAATGACACAATTTCATTATAGAAAATCTAGGGAAAATAAATATAAGGAAGGAAAATTACCTACGAGTCCACATATTAAGGTGTAACCACTTATTAACATCTAGTTTATTTTCCTTTTTGTTACTTTTGCAAACGTGTATACATACACATGGGGAAAATAATATCTATTTACTGAATTATACTATTTATGTAGTTCTCTTGTACTGTTTTTGCTTATCCTGTGAACACTTTTTAATGTCATTAGCTATACTTAGAAAATATTATTTTTAAAAGGTGTATGATATTCAGTTGTGGATATTATAATGAATTTAGTATTCCCTTTTTTTATGTTTAATACTTTAAAAATAATGTTTAATTTGAAATTGTAATTTAAACACAAATGCCAGGTTCATTTAATATGCATTTCTTTGAATTTACAGAACTGGGTTTATAGGCCCAAAAGATCAACGAATTTTCCTCATTCTCAGAGGAGTGATTGGTTCTACCGCCATGATCCTTATATACTATGCTTACCAGACAACGTCTCTTGCTGACGCCACAGTTATCACGTTTAGCTGTCCGGTGTTTACGTCCATATTTGCTTGGATATTTCTCAAGGAAAAGTACAGCCCTTGGGATGCTCTTTTCTCCATGTTCTCAATCACTGGAGTGATCCTTATTATGAGACCACCATTTTTGTTTGGTTCCAACAGTTCGGGGATGGAAGAAAGCTATTCAGTCCATCTTAAGGGAATGTTTGCAGCAATTGGACATACCGTATTAGCTGCATTGACTCTAGTTATCCTAAGAAAAATGGGAAAATCGGTGGACTACTTTTTGAGCATTTGGTATTATGTAGTACTTGGCCTCGCTGAAACCATCATCGTCCTCTCTGTATTAAGAGAATGGAGTCTGCCTTACTGTGGATTGGACCGGCTATTTCTCATCCTAGTTGCGCTCTTTGGTTTGGGGGCTCAGGTATTTCTCACCAAAGCAATTCAAATAGAAAAGCTAGGACCAATAGCAATAATGAGGACGATGGATGTGGTCTTTGCTTTTATCTTTCAAATTATTTTCTTTAATGATGTGCCAACGTGGTGGACTGTTGGTGGTGCTTTCTGCGTAGTAGCCAGTAATATTGGAGGGGCCATTCGTAAGTGGTACCAGAGTTCCAAATGAACCATCAGTGCTGAAATTTCACCCATTCAGACACAACTCGCGTGCATGTGCGCGCCCACACACACACCCACACCCACCCTCTCTACCTGGAAAATCTGCATTTATTTCATTTATTATATTTAA